CTTCTTAACCACAGCCAGCAAGTATTTATTGGGAAAATACTCTGTGCCAAATGCTGAGCTAGACAATGACTGCACAGGAGGGAACAAAGCAGACTTTGTTGTCGTTCTTCATTGATTCAGCAAACAGGAAGGAATGAGTAAGTTAAGTGTTTCAGATGCTTGCTGTCAAGGAAACGTATATGCAGATGATCAGGACAAGCAAAAGGAAGGTATCTTAGCAGCAATTCCATGGCTGTGAAGAGACACCATGACCTAGGCAACTCTTATAAAAGAAAACATTAATTAGGGGCTTGCTTACAGTTTCAGAGGTTTAGCCCATGTTCATCATGGTGGAGAGCATGGTGGCACACATAGTGCCAGAGCAGTAAATGAGAGCTACATCCTAATTTACAGGCAGTGAGAGGTCGGGTGGGGGGTGGGGAGAAGAAGAGGGAGAGGGAGAGAGAGAAAGAGACAGAGACAGAGAGAGACAGAGGAAGACTGGGCCTAGCATGGGCTTTAGAAACCTCAAAGCCCACCCCATGACACACTTCCAATAAGGACACTTCCTAATCCTTCTAATCCTTTCAAGTAGTGCCACTCCCTGGTAACTAAGTATTCAAATATATGAGAATATGGGGACCATTCTTTTTTAAATAAAATATAATATAACGAGATAGAACAAAAACTAACACAATGGAGTAGGATAAAACAAGAAGAAGAAGAAGAAGAAGAAGAAGAAGAAGAAGAAGAAGAAGAAGAAGAAGAAGAAAAGAAGAACAGCCTAAGAAACAGAGACCCACTCATCTGCACAATCAGAAATCTCATAAAAACACTAAACTAGAAGCTGTAATATACACACACACACACACAAAGGACCTGTAGGGTAAAAAGAGAAAAGACAAAAATATATAAATAAAATAAAATAGTAAGATAAATTTTTTTTAAAAAGAAAGAGAAAAAACAAAACAAAAAATAAACACACACACACACACAAAGGAAAAGCTCTGACATGATATTATAAGACAAGGAACCTCCAAAGATGTTGCTGAGTTTGTTTTCTGTTGGCCATGTAATGCTGGGCATGCAGCCTACCATTCACAGTAGTTTGTTTCCCCAGTGAGACTCCCTTGGAGGAAATTAAATTTTCATTTGTAAGTGGTTATCAATTGGAAATAAAGTCCGGGTTAGGGATGGGGGCATGTGTCCACTTCTCCTTTCAGATCTAGGGTCTTATCTGGTCCAGACCTGTGTAGACCCTGTGCATGCTGCCTCAGTCTGTGAGTTCATGTGGACGTTGGTCCTGTTGATGTAGAGGGCCTTGTTTCCTTAGCATTTTCCAATCTCCTTTGGCTTGGATATCCTTTCCACTTCTTCTTCCTCAGGGTTTCCTGAGCCTTGAGGGAAGGGATTGATGGAGTCATACCTTTTAGGGCCAAGTATTCCAAGTTCTCTCAGTCTCTGGATAATGTCTGGCTGTGGGTCTCTGTATTTGTTCCATCTGCTGCAGGAGGAAGCTTTTCTGACGATGGCTGAGCGAGGCACTGATCTGAGTGTAGCAGGGTGTCATTAAGATGCATCACATTGTTATTATTATTTTAGAACAGTGGTATTTGTTCCCTAGGCTATCTAGTTTCAGGTCCTGGGTCACCCAAGATGTCAGCTATGGTTTCCATACTGTGAAGTGGGCCTTCAGTCAAATCAGATTGGTTGGTTACTCTCACAGGTTGTTTTGCTACCATTGCACTAGTGTGTCTTGCAGGCAGGACACCATGGTAGAGACAAGGGCTTGTGGCTGGGTTAGTGTTTACATTTCTCCTTTGGTAGAGTGCAGAGTACCTTCATGTAACAAAGATGCTAGCATATAAGGGTAAATACCCTGTGTAGGCACCACCTCAACGTCTGCATGCTCAGTGGGTTGAGTAGGTGTTGTCTTCAGCTGTCGGGCCTTGCCTTTGGTTTATGGAGAGCACCCTACAGTTTTGACAACAGTCTGAGTTGTTTGGGGATTCCTGTCGGAATACTCCTTTGGGTAACAACTCAATTAGATATAACCCATTCCTGGCACTTACTGGAAGCTTTGTTTGGTGACAAGAGATGGCCAGTTGGGGCTCTGTCTCCCCCATTATCTGGTGAACTCATTTAGATAGCCTTTATATATGTATATATTTTAGGAAGCTTCTACTGTATTAGGTTTCCATACAGCCCCTCAAATATCCCTTAATTATAGCTGTCTCTCCCTGTATTCCTTCCCTCATCCCCCTCTTCCCTCCCCCTCCCCATTTGATCCTCCCATTCCAGATGCCCCCATCCCCCTGCCCAACACACTGCTCACATCCGTACCTATCTATTCTGTTTCCCTTTTCTAGGGACATCCATCTGTCCCCTCCAAGTTCCTGTCTCTCTGCTTAACCTCTGTGATTCTACAGATGGTAGCTTGGTCATCATTGATTTAATAGCTAATATCCACATATAAGAGAATACACACCATATTTGTCTTTCTGCATCGGGGTAACCTCACTCAAGATGATTTTTTTTCTAGTTCTATGCATTTGCCTGTGAATTTCATTTTTTAAAATGAAATTGTGCAAGTTTGCTACATTTTCTTTATCCATTCATCTGTTGAGGGACATCTAGGTTGTTTCCAATTTCTAGCTATTATGAACTGTGTTCGTCAATGAACACAGAAGAACAAGTAAATGTCTCTGTGGTAGAATGAAGCAGTCTTTGGGTATATGCCCAAGAGTAGTACATCTGGGTCTTGAGGTAGATCAGTTTCCTTCTTTCTGAGGAGCCTCCATATTGCTTTCCGTAGTGGGTTTTTACATACCAGTTTGCACTCCTACCAGCAATGAAGGAGTGTTCCTCTTACTCCACATCCTTGCCAGCATGAGCTGTCACTTGTTTTTATTGATTTTAGTCATTCTGACAGGTATAAGATGAAATCTCAAAGTAGTTTTGATTTGCATTTCCCTGAAGACTAGGAATGTTGAACATTCCTTTAGTTGTTTCTCAGACATTTGAGTTTCCTTTTTTGAGAATTCTGTTTATATCTGTACCCAAATTTTAAATTGGGTTTTAACTTAATTTGTCTTCTTGATATCTAGTTTTTTGAGTGTTGTGGAATATTAGCTTAAGATGTGTTACACTCATTTATGCTGTGGAATATTTGTTTAATAATGCAAAGATGTGTTGCATTCTTTTATGTTGCATTTGTTCAACTCTGTAAAGCTGTGTTTGCCTGTCTAAAACACCTAATAGGTCTAATAAAGAGCTGAGCAGCCAATAGCTAGGTAGGAGAGAGAGATAGGCAGGGCTGGCAGGCAAAGAGAATAAATAAGAGAAAAGAATAAAAGAGAGAAGAAGAGCAAGGAGAAAGGAGGAGAGGACACCAGGGGCCACCCAGCCACACAACCAGTCATGGCTTAAGAAGGAAAGAAAGGTACATTGAATAGAGATTGGTAAAGGCCCAGAGGCAAAAGGTAGATGGGATAATTTAAGAAAATCTGGCTAGAAACAAGCCAGGCTAAGGCTGGGCATTCGTAAGTAAAAATAAGTCTCCATGTATTTATTTGGGAGCTGGGTGGTGGGCCCTCAAAGAGTAAACAAAACAAACTACATTTGAGTTCTTAATATAGCTTGGATATCAGCTCTGTACTGCATGTATAATTGGTAAAAATCTTTCCCCATTCCATGGGATGCTGCTTTGTCTGAATGACAGTGTCACTTGCAGTACAGATTTTCAGTTTCATGAGATCCCGTTTATTAATTGTTGATATGAATATCTCTGCTAACAATGTTATGTTCAGAAAGTTGTCTTCTGTGCCAATGAATTCAAGGCTATTCCTCACTTTCTCTTCAGTTTGGTTCAGTATATCTGGTTTTGTGTGAGGTCTGATCCATTTAGAGTTGAGTTTTGTGCAGTCTGTTGAGTATGTATCTAGTTGCATTCTTCTACATGCAGCACCCAGTTTGACCAGCACCATTTGTTGAAGATGCTGTCTTTTTTCCAGTGTGTATTTCTAGATTCTTTTTAAACAATCAGGTATCGATAGCTGTGTGGTCTTACGTCTGGATCTTCAATTTAATTTCATTGATTAACATGTTTGTTTTGTGCCAATATCATGCTATTTTTATTACTATAGCTCTGTAATACAACTTGAGGTCAGAGATGGTGATATCTCCAGTAGTTCTTTTATTATTCAGGATTGTTTTTTAGCTATTCTGAGTTTTGTGATTTCATCTTATCTGAAAATTATCCTTCTAAGATCTGTGAAGAATTGTGTTGGAATTTTGTTGAGGATTGCATTGAATCTGTAGATTGCTTTTGGTAAGATGGCCATTTTTACTATGTTAATCATGTTGATCCATGAGTGTGGGAGATCTTTTCATTTTCTGATATCTTCTTCTATTTCTTTCTTCAGTGTCTCAAAGGTTTTATCACACAAGTCTTTCACTTTCTTGGTTAGAGTTACCCCAAGCTATTTTGTATTATTTGAAGCTCTTGTGAAAGGTAATTCTCTGATTTCTTTCTCAGTCTATTTTTTCATTTGCATATAGAAAGGCTACTGATTTGTGGGAGCTAATTTTGTATCCAGCTACTTTGTTGAAAGTGTTTATTAGCTGTAGAAGTTTTCCAGTAGAATATTTAGGGTCACTTATGTATACTATCGTATCATCTTCAAGTAAAGATACTTTGTCTTCTTCCTTTCCAGTTTGTATTCCTTTGATCTCCTCCAGTTGTCTTATTGCTCTAGCTAGGACTTCGAGTACTTACTATATTGAATAGGTATGGAGAACATGACTAACCTTGTCTTATTCCTGATTTTTGTGGAATTACTTTGAATTTCTTTCCATTTAAGCTGATTTGGCTATGGACTTGCTGTAAACTACCTTTTTATGTTGAGGTGTGTTCCTTATACCTGTAATCTCTCCACGACTTTTATCATGAAGAAATGTTTGATTTTGTCAAAGGCCTTTTCTGCATCTAATGACATGATCATGTGTTTTTTGTCTTTCAGTTTGTTTATATGGTAGATTACCTTTATCTATTTTCATATGTTCAACCATCCCTGCACCTCTGGGATAAAGCCTACTTGATCACAGTGAGTAATTTTTTTTATGTGTTCTTGGATTTGGTTTGCAAGTATTTTTTTTTTTTTGGTTTTTCGAGACAGGGTTTCTCTGTGTAGCTTTGCGCCTTTCCTGGAACTCACTTGGTAGCCCAGGCTGGCCTCGAACTCACAGAGATCCGCCTGGCTCTGCCTCCCGAGTGCTGGGATTAAAGGCGTGCGCCACCACCGCCCGGCGGTTTGCAAGTATTTTATTGAGAATTTTTGTATCTATGTTCACAAGGGAAATTGGTTTGCAATTCTCTTTCTTTGTTGGGTCTATGTGTCAGGGTAACTGTGGCCTTGTAAAGTAAATTGGGCAATATTCCTTCTGTTTCTGTTTTGTGAAATAATTTGAGGAGTATTGGCATTAGCTCTTCTTTGAAAGTCTGGTAGAATCCTGTGCTAAAACCATCTGGCCCTGGGCTTTTTTGATGAGGCTTCATGACTGTTTCTGTTTCACTAGGGGCTATAGATCTGTTTAAATTTTTTATCTGGTCTTGATTTAACTTTGGTAAGTGGTATGTATCAAGAAAATTATCCCTTTCTTTTAGATCTTCTAGTTTGGTGGAGTACAGGTTTTTCAAGTATGTTCATATGATTCTCTGGATTTCCCCAGTGTCTGTTGTTATGTCTTTTTATTTCTAATTTGGATCTTCTTTCTCCATCCTTGAGTTAATTTGGATAACGGTTTCTCAATCTTCTTGATTTTCTCAAAGAACCAAATCTTTGTTTGATTCTTTTTTGTTTGTTTGTTTGTATGTTACTTACTTTCCCCCCGAGTTTGATTATTTCTTGCCATCTACTCCTTTGGGGTGTGATTTCTTCTTTTTGTTCTAGAGCTTTTGGCTGAGCTATTAAGTTACTAGTATGAGATTTCTCCAGATTTTTTTAAATATAGGCACTTAGTGATATGAACTTGCCTTTTTTTAGAATATAACATCTTTTGATAGACAAAACAAATTCTGTTTAAGCTATAAGTTTTAAAGTATTCAGAATTTGCTTAAAATATTTTATTTATATTTACTTTTTCATTAATAATAATATAGAGTTTTTAAAAAAATTTGTATTTTTATTTTGCAATACAATTCAGTTCTACATATCAGCCACGGATTCCCTTGTTCTCCCCCCTCCGGCCCCCTCCCCTTCCCCCCAGCCCACCCTCCATTCCCACCTCCTCCAGGGCGAACTTACCTTTTAGCACTGCTTTCATTGTGTCCCATAAGTATGAGTATGTTGTGTATTCATTTTAACTCAATTCTAGAAAGTCTTTAATTTTTTCTTCATTTCTGTTTTGACCCATTTTTCATTCAGTAGTGAGTTGTTCAGTTTCCATGAGTTTGTAAGTTTTCTGTTGTTCCTATTGTTGATGATATCCAATTTTAATCTGTGGTGGTCATATAGGATCCAGGATGTTATTGCAGTTTTCTGTCGTGGTTAAGACTTGCTTTGTATCTGAGCATGTGGTCAATTTTGAAGAAACCTCCATGAGGTGCTGAGAAGAAGGTATGTTCTTTTATGTTTGGATGAAATGTTCTGTAAATATCTGTTAGGTTTATTTGGTTTATAACATCAGTTAGCTCCAGCATTTCTTTGTTTAGTTTTTCTCTAGATTACTTGTCTGTTGGTAAGAGTGGGGTATTGAAGTCTCCCACTATACTGGCTGGGTTTTTGTGTCAACTTGACACAAGCTAGAGTCATCAGAGAGGAAGGAGCCTCAGTTAAGAAAATACCTCCACGAGACCCATCTATACAGCATTTTCTCAATTAGCGATCAATGAGGGAGGGTCTAGCTCATTGTGGGTGGTGCCATCCTTGGGCTGGTAATCCTGGGTTCTATAAGAAAGCAGGCTGAGCAAGCCTTGAGGAGCAAGCCAGTAAGCAACACCTCTCCATGGTCTCTGCATCAGCTCCTGCCTTCGGGATTCTGCCCTGTCTGAGTTCCTGTCCTGATTTCTTTCAGTAATAAACAGTATGAAAGTATAAGCCAAGGAAGCCTTTTTCTCCCTTGCTTTTTGGTCATGGTGTTTCATTGCAGCAATAGAAACCCTAAAACACCCCACTATCAGTATACACTATAGTAGTGTTTCTTTTACAAACATGGGTGCCCTTGTGTTTGGTGCATAGATATTAAGAACTGCAATGTCATTTTGGTGGACTTTTCCTTTGATGAGCATGTAGTCTCCTTCTCTATCTCTTCTGATTAGTTTTTTTTTTGAATTCTATTATGTCAGATATTAAAATGGCTATACCAGCTTACTTTTTGAGTCCATTTGCTTGGAATACCTTTTTCCATTCTTTTAACCTGAAGTGATGTCTATCCTTGATGTTGAGATGTGTTTATTGGAGTGGGGGGAGGAAAGATTAGAGGGGAAGATCTGTGTGATCCCCTTGAGATTCGGGTGGGGAGGGAGGTGAGGCCACAGCAAGTGGTTTGATACAGAGCTGGAGATGAGACTGGGGGATTGAATTTGGAGGAGCAGAGGGAGGAGTGGTCTACCTGTTTCCCTGGCCAGAGTGGCCTCTGCATTCCCAGAGAGTGCCTGCTGGAGTTGGGGGCTGGGATAAAGTGATGAGTAGGGGGGAAGAAGTTTGGAGGGGAAGACCTGTTTGATCCTCTAGAGATATGGGGGCAGAGGTGCAGTGGGTGGTCTACTACAGAGCTGGGGATAAGACTTGGGGGGTGTTATGGAATATTAGCTTAAGATGTGTTATGTTTGTTTACACTGTGGAGTATTTGTTTAATGATGCAAAGATGTATTGCATTCTTTTAAGTTTCATCTGTGAAAGCTGTGTTACTTTGTCTGCCTGAAACACTTGATTGGTCTAATAAAGAGCTAAACGGCCAATAGCTAGGCAGGACAGGGATAGGCGGGGCTGACATGCAGAGAGTATAAATAGGAGAAATCTAGGCTTGAGAGAGAAGAATGAGAAGAGGGAGAAGCAGGAAAAGGAGGGGAGGAGGGTGCCAGGGGCCAACCACTCAGCCACACAGCCAACCACAGAGTAAGAAGGGAAGAAAGATATATAGAATTAAGAAAAGCAAAAGCCCTGAGGCAAAATGTGGAAGAAGAGAAACAGGTTAAGTTCAGCTAGAAAAGCTGGTTAGAAACAAGCCATGCGAAGGCTGGTCATTCATACGTACAAATAAGTCTCTGTATATTTATTTGGGAGCTGGGTGGCAGGCTCCCAAAAATAGTTAAAAAAAAAATTACAAGGGGATGGATTTGGAGGATGTGCAGAAGAGGTGAAGATGTTCTGCCAGCCTACCTGCTTCCTTGTGACATTTTTATTCAACCCACCACAGAAGGGGTTTCTTTTAAGAGCAAGTGGTCAGGTGAAACCTGTTTGGATAGTACTTGAGATAAAATATCTGAAGGTTAAGCCTAGTCTCTCATTTTCAGTCTAAAGAGGAAAGGGGAAAAAAGGGCAGTAACATTATTGAGACCTAAGGATACCAATAGATTAGTGCTATATTACCGCACTCCCCTTTTAAAATGGGAAACGTTTGGTCAAAGTCTTATAGGAGTCAACTTGAGTAGCCTGTAGCATGTGCTCATGTCAGTACCTAAAAAGCACTTCCAAGGACAATGAAACATCGAAGAAGATAGTCCTCAGCAAAAATCTGGACCTGATACGGGCAAGACCATCACAACCTAAAGAAAGTGGTGTGTGTGTGTGTGTGTGTGTGTGTGTGTGTGTGTGTGTGTGTGATCATGCCAAATGAATTCAGGTGTCCGGCATGGGATACGTAGTCCAGCATAGAAGGAGACAGACGTTGTAATGCTGGGACACTGTCAGAAACATCTAGGAAAGCATTGGAACCATGTTAAAGAGGAGAAAAGTGTCCCCTCTAAAACAGAGATGAAGGGGACAATTGGAAAAATAATAGAGCAACAGAATCGACACAGATCTGTTAAGTTCTGGACTGGCGTGCCAGCAGAGAGGTCATGAACCCAAGCCTTCATGGCAGACAGACTCTAAAGGAGCAAATTCAGCCCCACCGATTCCTAGCTGTGTACTGTGACCCTGAGTGCATCCCTTCACCTCCCTGACCTGAGGTTCTTCTCCTGCAAATGGATAATAATGATCACTTTACAGAGCTGGGTGACGGTGCAACAGGCTCATTTATATCAAGCATTTAGTGCAGCCCACCGAAGACAGAAAGCTTTCAATAAACTATAATCATTATCATTACAAGTTCTCACATTTATTATTAATCAGACGACTGGGGAGCACTTAAAAAGGAAATGGTAATAGACAATCAGCTCCTCATTCTATAAATACATTGAGTGCACCCTAAGGGTCTTCCTTAGAAAGCAACAAGAAGGTGCAGGGGAGAACTGCAATTTACATTCTGTCTGAAAAGGACAAAATGGGCTTATTCATTACCTATCCCAAGTTCCCATTGCTGATTTCACTGTACATGCTTCTTTCTGCTCGATCTGGCAGGGAGGTTGTAATTCTGCATTTCTGTGTGTGGCATTGCAATCTATCTGTTGCCATGGAGAGATAAAGGGAAAAGAAGTCAGACCCTGGCTTCAGAACAAACAGTGCCAAAGAACAAATATGTGTGGGGGGGGAGGTATGTAACAAAAGCAAATGGAAAAGGCAAAATGTTTTTCTGCTTGAACATACATAGGGCAGCATGAAATCTCTGCTGGTGCAAGATGTAACAAGAAGCAGAATCAGTGCCCCATGTTGTAAATATTGATTTGAATTCATATTTTTAAATGTGTAAAACTAGCCATGTACAAGACAGCACAAACAGAATGCAGATTATACTAATGATAGATCTCTTCTATATGTTATTTTCCAAACAGTTAGAGTTAATTTTAAATCCTTAAAAAAAATTTTGGTTGTGATCCCAACACCTGGGTTGTTTGAATTGCAAAAAAAAACAAATGATAATAACATTATATGGCTTCTTTTCACTTAGATTTGAAAAAAAAGAAAAACTCAAGAAATGTTATTGGTGGCTATAGACGGATTCT